TTTTAAAGGATCTTTCAAGTAAGCATTTCTTGTTTTCTCTCTCTTTTTTTTTTTTTTTGGCAGTAGCTAACCTTCCCTCCCTCTTCTCTCATCTACTATCTCCTAGATGAATGAATGATGATGGAACCACCATAAACATTGCAGGCCTTGAAGGGCAATTTAGAGATAATTGTACCCTGTGGCACTCAAAAGAGAGTTGGTTATAACTGGCCATACTGAGTGAAGGGAAGTAGAGGAAGGAGGAAGCAGAGGGTTGAGCGGCTAGTTTTGTGTCATTCTCCATGAGGCTGGAAAGTCCTTGGTTATGAGGTTTTAAAAAAATTAAACTACCACTCCTGTACAATAGTGTATTCTTCTGTATTTTAAAATTTATATAATTTTAATTAAGATTTAGGTTGAATTAAATCTACTTCTTCAAAACAAATATACAAGCATACAACTTCTTAAAAGAGAGATAAGTTCCTGGCCAACCATTGTTTTATCCATTCCCCTCTCTTATTGTATAATCAAAAATTGAGTATAGCAAAGAAAATATGGATACAAGCTCTAGCAACATCAGTTACCCAACTGATTGCTTATATCTCTTTCTTTTCCAGATTCCACATAGATGAATGTAGTTAACCTCAAACTTGCAGATTCACACTTTCTCTGAGGTTCAGGACAAGAAAGGTTTGACCCAGGAAATACTTGAGTAGCCTGAGTGGCCAGTGATGACTTTTGTGCTTCTATTGTGAACTCACTCCACCTGTTTTGTCCGGTCACCATATTGATCTCCAGGGCTGTTTCAACCCATCAGGCTGATGCAGTGGGTCTCTACCCCCTCCTACTGGAGTCCTATGTTATCACAAGGATGCAGCTCTGAGTTTCTATTTGGAAACAGGATTTTTGATATTTACCTGATATTTAGTTTTCCCCATGTGGAATATATTTTTCCATTTCTATAACTGGTCTTCTGCCTCTGAGCCCTTCCTGAATGTTCATGGTAGCAGTCTGCTCAAATCTCTTTCTAGAACAGAGTCTTTATTGTCATCTTGAAGGAGTTTGGACTGGTGGCAAATGGCTCTTACCAGGACTCTTCACCAGGCACAAAAACTATCTTTAACCTCCCTGGATGATGGTTGGTGCCAAGTTATCCATGGACAGATATCCAGATGGGCCCACTCACCTCTGCTGGAATGTTCCATGACTGTGCTTTCCATTTAACAGGATGTCAAGACTTTGTTGATATCAAACCTTTGTTGTTAAGAAGCAAAGTTAAGCCAATCCAAATCATGCTGATGTGAATGATGCATGAATCATATCTAGATATGGTCATTTCTTTGGATATTCTGTGTTGTTGGCCTGCCTAAACTTTTGTTATTGACAAAAGCCTGTCTTATAACCCCCATTCTCTCTATAGATGGGTGTAGAAACAGGCTCAGTCTCTCACTGAATAATCCTGTGTTGCTGGGAATAAATCACCACTCTTTATTGACAAATCCCAAAATGTGAAAACAATCAATAGTAAGGACAATATTTTATTCCACTTCAGCATCAAAATGGATGAAATCAGTATTGCTCAGTGGTTAAGGCTAAAGACATTGGAGGTCAAATCCTACTTCCTCCACTTTGGTAGCAGTCTGCTCAAAGACTTGAGCTTAATGAGTGCTCAAGTCTTTGGCTTAATGAGTGCCAGAACTCTGTGTCTCAATGTTTTCACCTATAAACTTGAGTATTTATAGTACTCATCTAATAGGATATTGTGAGATTTAAACAAAATAATAAATGTAGACTACTTAGAGTAATGCCAGACATGTAGTATTATTGATGTCGGAGGGGTTTAAAAAACTTAAACAAAATGGTGTAGAGAAAAAGAAGAATTAAAATTTTATGAAAGAAAACACATAGAGAAAATGAACATGGAGCAAAAGTGGTAGACTTGATTGTCTTCTCCCTAAGAGGGTGGGTGGCTAGTAGGATACTTGAAGAGACAGTCAGAATCACAGGGCTCACAAGTTATTTTTAGTGAGTTGAGATTAGAACACAAGCCTGTGAATCTTGGGTCTTAAAGAAAAAATTTCCAACATGGAAAAGTCATGAGTTTACACACTTAGACTTCTCTTATTTCAGTAATTTCAAGAGAAAATGGAAATTCTAACTTCCTTTTCCATTGCTTCTCAGCTGTTTCAACTGCCCTGAGTTCCAGGAAAGTGCATGAAATCAGTTGATTCATAGCCCACTGCTAAACATTTGCCAGAAACAGCAGCAGGAGGGATTCAGGTATAATTTTGTACTCAGGAAATGTTTGTGGAATAACTTTAAAAAAAGTTTTTACAATTATTTTTATTTTTATTTTAATGCATATTTTTATATTAAATTTTTAAAAATAAATTATTGTGTGGACTCTGAGTTCTAGTTATTTGCCAAATTAAGCCAGCCAGTATTTATTTCCACAGCATTTACTCAATAACAGTCTTTGCACATAGTCAGATATTACCTCTGTTATAAGTAACCAAGAGTACTTTTTGGATGTGTTCTTCTTTATTAATTCGATCAATCATTCAGTAATCATTTTGTAACTTTTGAATAGCAAAGAGATCCATTTAGCAAAGGATAATGGTATGTGAAAGTAATTCCGGTTCTACTTCTGTAAAAACAAGTCCCAGTCCTTGATTTCATGGGTTCCTGACAAAATGAATATCTCACCCTTGTTTTGTCCAGAACCCGAAATACTACACCTGAGCTCACAACTCCCACCACCTTTTCTTCTGTTTATGCTTGGATCATCTCAAACAGAGAAGTCTTGCCAAGGATGTCTGTACAATAAAGCCCTGGATCTTCCTAATACTATGTGAAAGCAAGTGTGAAAAACAACAGCATTAGCTAATATTTGTTAAGGTCTTACTATATTCAGGTCCTGTGCCCAATGTTATACACAAATTACCATTTTGATTCTCAAAACAATTCTCTTCCAGTGGTTGATACTTAGTAGAAGAGAATTGTTTTGAGAATCAAAATGGTAATTCATGTATAACATTTGCCCATCAGTAAACGAATGGATCAAAAAACTATGGTATATTTACACAATGGAATTCTATGCAGCAGAAAGAAAGAAGGCGCTCCTACCCTTTGCAACAGCATGGATGGAACTGGAAAGCATTATGCTAAGCAAAATAAACCAGGTGGTAAAAGACAAATACCATATGATCTCACCTTTAATAGGAACCTAAACAGCAAAACAAACAAACAAGCAAAATATAACCAAAAACATGGGAATAGAGAACAAGCTGACAGTGACCAGAGCAGAGAAGGGAGGGGATTTCAGGGGAAAAGGGAAAAGGTTTGCAGGAACAAGTATAAAGGACACATGGACAAAAACTAGAGGGGGTGGAAATAGGAAGGAGGTGGGGAGGGCTGGGGGGTGGGCTGAGATGGGAGTAAAAGACAGAAAACTGTACATGAACAACAATTGAAATAAAATTAAACAAAAAGTTTTCCTATTTTGAAGTCAAAATAAGAGGTTGAGCTTATACAACTTTCCCAAAGTCACAAAACTAATGGATGAATGATTCATTACTAGCTGATCTGACAATTTGAGTTCAGGTTCATGAAATGAGGCAAGTGTATCATAACAACTGCCTCTATCTTACCATGTGTTAATCCTTTGAAGAGCATCAAGGATTTAAAAACTTAATGAGTGAGGAGGTCAGAAAGAGTGTGGAGCAGAAAGAGCTATAGCTTGGGATTAGCAGAAACAAAGTCTGTGTTCACTACTACCAGTTCTAGGTTGTGAAACTTCAGGTGAATTGTTTAAGCTGAATCTTAATTTATACTTTTTTGCATAATAATATCTATTTTTCTTATTTCAATGGTTTTAATAGAATTACATGAGAATTGTAGAACACTTTGCAAATTAAGTAATATACCAAATGCCACCTTTCTCTATGAGATTAGGGACATAGCTAGATTTCTGCTTAGTTTCTCTCTCTTTCCTGCATCTACTTGCATTTTATGCCTGCCATGCAAGGGTGACTAGCATAGGCTCCAAATACTTGACTGGCCTAGTGGTTGCAATCTCCATGAAGCTCAAATTGAAAAAGCCACAATTTTAAATGGTCAAAGACACTAAAGAGACCATAGTGCATTTATTCTACTTTTCTAAGGAAATCCTAGGCCACTAAATTCTCTGTAATCTAACTCATGTCAGGAATTTGATAGTGCAGTTTTAGATCTGGTAAGAGATATATAAGTAGACTTAAAGTGATAAAAAGGGTCAGTTTTGATATAAACAAGGCAATTGTTTGGATTTAATTAAATAATATATGCAATACAGAAACCCACCTAGAGCTGTGTTAATGTTATATCATTTTTGGGGGTGCAAAAGCAATATTCATCTTTCCTTTGTAGTTTACTGTTAAGCATAAGTAAGAAGAACAGAGTTTTTACTTCAAGTTCTTCATTTTTAATGTAACATATTTGTAAAATAGAAATAACCTCTTACCATTTAGTTTAGAGAGTTTTTGAAAGATAGAAGCAGAATAATAGCTCTGAATATGCTTTGAAAACAAAGATAGTATCTAGAGATAAAGTTTTTATAATGATAATTATAGTTACGCACCACTCAATTTGATAGAGGAATGAAATAAAATTGGAAAAAGCATATTTCTGTCAAAAACTAGATTACACACTATAATTTCAAAAAATTGCTTTTAAGTTATTCAAGATTTTGGATTATTTATTCTTTTTTTTGCACAGGTGTACCAATTACTGACTCTCCTGAGCAGAAGGGTTTTTCTCAGCTCTTTGGAGACCGGACACAGGCAAAAGTTAGAAATTCAATTTCTAAAGCTGAAAAACATTTAGGTTGGACCTTAAGTCTCTCCTCAGCCAGTTGGATTCCTTTTGAGTCCCAGGGTGTTTGTGTTAAAAGAGATCAAATGGGCATTTCAATGTCTTTTTCAAGGGCAACTTCAAAAAGTTAATAGAAAACTGGGAGGGGATTAGCAAAGGTCAAAACTCACAGGTTTGCAGGCAAAGGAGAAAGATCCATAAGTAATGCTGAGCCATCTTCTTCCAGGGCATAAACGACTGTGCCAAGAATGGCACTCTCCTAGCAGACAGTCAGTTGCACTTGACTGCACATTCTTGCCTTTTATAGCTGCGTTTAAAAAAGGAAGTGTGAGATAACTGATTTAGGAAACAGTGGTATATATAGTCTAGGTATTATGATCCTATTTTTCCTTATTGTGGAATGTAAAATGCTTACCATTAATTAATTAATTAGTTAATTAATTAATATTTATTGAATGCCTACCATGTGTCAGGGACCATTCTGGTCACTGGCAATATAAAGGGCAACAAATGATCTCCCCTTTTTGGGAAGAACAACAATTAAACAGTCAATTCCAATATAGTGTAATAAATGTTTCAATAGAGAAAATGTGGAGAATGGGAAGGGTGTCTAAACTGGGCTAGGAGAGTGTGGGGAAGTCTTTCTGAAGGAACTGACAACCAAGCTGAGAAAGATATGAAGAATAAGTTAGCATTATTAGGAAAAAGGTGGTGGGGATAGAGAATACAAAGAATGCGTTGATGTGATAGGAGCTTAATAAATGGTAGCAACTAATATTATATAATTATAGTTATATTATGCTATATAATAAATAAAATGAAATTAATAAAATATATCATAGAATTATTTTATATAATAATGATATCCTATTTCTGTTACATAAAATTATGTAACATAAGATTATGTATATGTAAATTATATATACATAATTATGTTATATAAATTACACATATAATATAATTAATATAATTATATCATGATTGAGATCAGTGAAACACAGGACTGTTCTCTAGTAGAGGCCCTCTACTTGCCTGTTAGAAGATAACAGGGGCTTTGTATGTATGTAGGGTGTCAGAGGTGGTAATAAGTATAAATATTGGAGCCCAGAAGCCAAGCAACATTTTCTATTGTTGACAGTTTTACAGATGTCCCCTATTGTTCTCCCCTTTGCCCTCCTCTGCCCAGCCTAAACCCCTGCTTCCACAGTCAATCACCACACTGTTGTTCATGCCATGGGTCACTCATAAATGTTCTTTCTCTAATCCTTCCCCCTTCTTTCCACCATTCCCCCTCTCCCTACTCAGCCCTGGTAGCTGTCAGTCTGTTTCATGTTCCCATGTCTCTGGTTCTATTTTCCTTGTTAGTTTATTTTGTTCATTATGTTCCTGTTATAGGTGAGATTATATGGTATTTGTCTCTAGTTCCAACCATGCTGTAGCAAAAGGTAGGAATTCCTTCTTTATTTCTGTTCCATAGTATTCCATTGTGTAAATGTACCACGGTTTTTTAATCCACTCATCTACTGATGGGCACTTAGGCTGTTTTTAGCACTGGGCTATTGTAAATACAGCTGCTATGAACATAGGGGTGCATAAGTTCTTTTAAATTTGTGTTTGGGGATTCTTAGGGTATATCACCAGCCGTGGAATTGCTGGGTCAAAAGGCAGTTCTATTTTCAATTTTTTTAGGAAATTCCATACTGTTTTCCACAGTGGCTGCACCAGTCTGCATTCCCAGCAACATTGCTCTATGGTTTCCTTTTCTCCACATCCTCACCATCACTTGTTGTTAGTTGATTTATTCATGATAGCCATTCTGACAGGTGTGAGGAGATATCTCATTGTGGTTTTACTTTACATCTCTCTGATGGCTAGTGATGTTGGGCGTTTTTTTTTTTTATCTGTCTCTGGGTTATCTGTATGTCCTCCTTGGAGAAATGTCTATTCAGGTCCTTTGCCTCTTTTATAAGTGGATTGTTTGCCTTCCTGGTGTGGAGTCTTGTGAGTTCTTCATATATTTTGGAGATCAAACCCTTGTCTGAGGTATCATTGGCAAATATATTTTCCTATATGGCTGGTTCTCTTTTCATTTTGCTGATGTTTTCTTTAGCTGTGCAGAAGCTTTTTAATTTGAGGAAGCCCCATTTGTTTATGTTTTTCTTTTATTTTTCTTGCCATAGGAGATTTACCAGCAAAAATAATACTATGTGGAATATCTGAAATTTTATACCCTGTTTTCTGCTAGGACTTTTATGATATCATGACTTATATTTAAGTCTTTTATCCATTTTGAGTTTATTCTGATGTATGGCATATGTTGTTGGTCTAGTTTCATTTTCTTTGCATATATATCAGTCCAGTTCTCCCAACATCATTTATTGAAGAGACTATCTTTATTCTATGGTATGCTCATGCACATTTTCTCAAATATTAATTGACTGTAGAGGCATGGGTTTATTTCTGGGATCTCCATTCTATTCCATTGATCTATGTCTGTTCTTATGCCAATACCAGACTCTTTTGATTATAATGGCCTTGTAGTAGAGTTCAGGTATAGTGATCCCTCCAATTTTGTTTGTTTCTTTTTTTTTGCAAGATTGCTGAGGCTATTCAGGGTCTTCTTTGATTCCATATAAGTTTTTGAAATATCTTTTCTAGATATGTGAAGTACACCATAGGTATTTTAATAGGAATTGCATTGACTCTAGATTGCTTTGGGTAGTATGAACATTTTAATGATGTTAATTCATCCAATCCATAAACACAGTGTATGCTTCCATTTATTTGTATCTTCTTCAATTTCTTTCTTCAGTGTTCTATAGTTTTCTTTCTTTTTAAAAAATTGTTGTTCAAGTAAAGTTGTCTCCATTTTCACTCCTATCCCCCTTCCCACCCCATTGCATTCTATAGTTTTCTGAGTATAGGTCTTTTATATTCTTGGTTAAATTTATTCCTAGGTGCTTTATTTATTTATTTTTGTTGCTATAATAAGCAGGATTTTTTTCTTAGTTTCTCTTTCTGATAGCTCATTGTTGGTGTACAAAAATGCCATCAATTTTTTACCTTTATTGTATTTCTTTTTGTTACCATTTAGTCCCCTTATAGTCACAAATTTCTGAATATTGACTTTGTGTCATGCTATTTTGCCAAATTCACTTATTAGGTCAAATAGTTTTTTGGTGGAGAATATAGGGTTTTCTATGTACATTATCACGCCGTCTGCAAATAATGACAGTTTTACTTCTTTTTTTTAAAATTTGGATGCCTTTTATTTCTTTTTCTTGTCTGATTGTTGTGGCTGGAACTTCCAGTACTATGTTGAATAAGAGTGATGAAAACAGACACACTTGTTTTGTTCCCAATGTTATGGGAAAAGCTTTTAATTTTTGCACATTGATTATGATGTGCAGTAGGTTTCTCATATATGGTCTTTATTAAGTAAGGGTATGCACTCTATATTCCCACTTTATTGAACGTTTTTATCATAAATGGGTGCTGAATTTTATTGAATGCTTTCTCTGCATCTATTGATATGATTGTGTAATATTTTCCTTTCATTTTATTTATATGGTGTATTGTTTATTGATTTGTGAATTTTGTACTGCCCTTGCATCCTTGCGATATTTTCCACTTGACCATGTTATATGATCTTTTAAATATATTGCTGGGTCAAGTTTGCGAATACTTTGTTGAAGATTTTAACATTTGTGTCCATCAGAGATATTGGACTGTAATTTTCTTTCTTTCTTGTATCTTTACCTGATTTTGGAATTAGGATAATAATGGCCTAATAAAAAGGATAATTAGGATAATACAAAGAGTTTGGGAGTCTTCCTTCTTCTTGAATTTTTGGAATAGTTTGAGAATGACAGGAGTTACCTCTTCTTTGAATGTTTGGTAAATTCACCTGTGAAGCCACCCGGTCCAGGGCATTTGTGTGCTGAGAGTTTTTTGATTCCTGCTTCAATTTCACTAGTTGTTATCAGTCTATTCAGACTCTCTGCTTCTTCTTTATTTGGTTTTGGAAGTTTATGTTTCTAGAAATTTATCCATTCCACCCAGGTTATCCATTTTCTTGGCATATAGTTGTTCGTAGTAATTTCTTACTATGAATGAATGAATGAATCAATCAATCAATCAATAAAGGAATAAATAAATATTTTTTAAAAGAAGAAATAAAAATATTTTTTATTTCTGTGGTATTGGTTTTAACTTCTCTATCATTTCTGATTTTATTTATTTGAGTACTCTCTTTTTTTCTTGATGAGTCTGTTTAAGGGTATATCAATTTTCTCTATCTTTTCAAAGAACCAGCTCCTGGATTCATTGATCCTTTTAATTGCTTTTTTAGCCTTTGTGTCATTTAATTATGCTTTGATCTTGATTACTTCCTTCCTTCTACTTTCTCTGGGCTTTGTTTGTTTTAGTTCCTCTAGTTCTTTTACATGTAGGGTTAGGCCCTTTATTTGAGATTTTTATTTCTTCTTTAGGTAGGCATGTATTGCTATGAACTTCCCTCTCAAGAAGGCTTTCACTGTGTCCTATATGTTTAGGGTTGTTGTGTGTTCATGTTCATTTGTTTCCAGATGCTCTTGGATTTCTTTCTTGATCTCATTGTTAACTCATTCATTGTTTAATGACATGTTTTTAAGTCTCCATGTATTTGAATTTTATTTTAGTTTTATCCTAGCTCTAAGCCAATGTGATCTGAGAAGATGTCTGAAATGATTTCAATTTGCTTGACTTCACTGAGTCTTGTTTTGTGTCCTACCATGCCATTTATCTTTGAAAATCATCAATAGGATTTGAAAAGAATGTATATTTTGCTTCTTGGTGGTGAAATGCTCCATAAATATTAATTAAGTCCCCTTGGTCTAGAGTGTCATTCAATGCCACAATATCCTTGTTGATTTCATTTATTGATTTATTTATTATTTAAATTGTTGTTCAAGTATGGTTTTCTGCATTTTACCCCCATCCCAGCCCACCCCCCAGCTCTCCCCACCTCCCTCCCATTTCCACCCCCCCCCCTTGTTATTGTCCATGTGTCCTTTATACTTGTTCCTGCAAACCCTTTCCCTTTTCCCCTGAAATTTCCTCCCCTCTCTGTTCTGGTCACTGTCAGGTTGTTCTCTATTTCCATGTCTTTGGTTATATTTTGCTTATTTGTTTGTTTTGTTCTTTAGGTTCCTGTTAAAGGTGAGATCATATGGTATTTGTCTTTCACCACCTGGCTTATTTTGCTTAGCATAATGCTTTCCAGTTCCACCCATGCTGTTGCAAAGGATAG